CTAAAGTTCACATTGTATTTTTGGCATAATTTATAATTTTAGAATCCAGAAAATTATTGCAACTACAATTTACTTTACTATATTTTTTATATATTATATTATTTTCCGGAGTCTCCTAGAGCCTAGGTGAATGAAATGTTTATTTCCGTGGAAGTGTGGATGACTATTATTATTAAAATTATTAATTATTAATTATTAATTATTAATTATTATTATTATTATATTGAATGTGATTTGAAAATCATTAGAACTCAATTCTTCCCCATCCAGCACATTTACTAACTCATAGTAGGCTAGTTAAAATTGTTGCAACTTCTTAATGTATAAATGTTTATAAAATAATATTATAATAATAAAATATAATATTTTGGTTTACACTAATTACCTAAGTGTAGTTACAGGGTGAGAGCTACGCTCGTGGTGTCCCGTCTTTCCAGCACTCCGTCATATAATGCTTTGAAATTACTGACGGTTTTGGCCTCTACCACCTTCTCGCCTAACTTGTTCCAACTGTCTTCCACTATGTTTGTGAAAGTAAATTTTCTTATACAGTACAGTATTTCTTTGCCAGCTTTGTTTAGTTAGTTTAAATCTATGACCTCTTGCTCTTGAAGTTACAAGTCATGGGAATTCTTCCCTATCAATTTTATCGATTTCTGTTACTAACTTGTACGTAGTGATCATATTACCCTTTTCTTCTATCTTCTAGTTTGGCATATTTCATGTCTCTAACCTCTCCTCGTAGCTCTTGTCCTTTAGTTCTGGGAGCCATTTTGTTGCATGTCTTTCCATGTTTTTTGTTTTTTTGATGTGCTTCTTAAGATATGGGCACCATACAACCACTGCATATTCCAGCTTTGGGTTACCAAAAGTCGTGAACAATTTCTTTAGTATTTCGCCATCCATGTAGTTAAAAGCAATTCTGAAGCTAGAAAGTTTAACATAGGCTCCTCGTACAATGTTCTTTATGTTGTCATCAGGTGATAGTTTTATATCTAGAACCACTCTTAGATTTCTTTCTTCATCAGAGTTCTTTAAAGATTTCTCACATAATTTATAGGTTATGTGGGGTGCATGTTCTATTCCACATTCCTTAACATGACATTTATTCACATTATATTCCACTTGCAAGTGGTGCTCCATACATATGTTTTGTCCAGGTCTTCTTGAAGGGCATGTGTTCAAATTGTAATGTATAAATTGCTACAAATTCCCAGAGTATGCCAAAACTAGTCTGTTGGCTTTAAGTCTTGCATGTGACTCAATGTATTTTCATGCAAATAAATTAATATTGTAAATACATAACAAAAATAGGTGAAAGAGGCCATGGGTAAAGGAAAGATGCCCAAGCAACTAACCCTGCCTGAGAATTGAACCTAATACAAATTGGTTGTAAGCCAAATGTAATAATATATTTGTTACAAGTTTTCAATCCCTCTTTCTTAATTTAGTTCATATTATAATATGAACTAGTATTTCCTTGTTTGCCAGCATTAAGCTAATATATTATTTTCATAATACTGTATATTAGTTGAAAAAAAACCCAATGTATGTATTAAACAAATACCTCTCCCACATCATTCCTGCTTTATTGGTCCAGTTCATGTTACTAAAATTTAAATTGCTTAGACTGTAGAAGTTATTGCACCTACTTGCTCGAGATATTTCACCCCAACTATATCTCCTTTCTGTACGCCTGTATTTGATGGTCTTTGTATTAGGCTTATTTTCATTGTAAGTTGGTTCTATCCAGATTGTTTCTGCCTATTTATCCATTTTATGTTCCAGTATAATACACCATTCTCCCCTCATCATCTAACATTTCTGTCACTATGAAACAATTTAAATCTATATGAAATTAAGGTAAAAGTTCCCTGGAGTAAATATTTATCCAAGTTTATATTATTGTAAAACATTTCTGTACACAAGTATTCTTAATTCATCAATGGTATTTATATAAAACTTATATTTTTTGTAACACACCAGTAGGCATTATGCTATATTTCCCTTTACTATCAGTATTACTCCCAAGCGCTTCACCACTAACATGCCCCAACATCTTTCCCCGATACCCAGGAATGGTCAACAGGATTAAAACTCTCTCGTCACCAGCAAGCACCCTTATCTCCATCTCCTGTCAATTTAAATATTGGTAAATATGATAAGAGTTCCTTTCAATAAACTCCTTAACAATGGCACCTTTGCCCTTGCTAAATTCAACCATTTGCCACATGGAGCTAATTTTTATCAAAGAACTTTGTCTCGGATGTCAATGAATGGTATCATCTTACAGAATTTGTTTAGTTAGTAATTTATTCCAGTAGCCTTAGAAAACTAATTAGTGCAATAAATTTATATATGGCACTTTTTTAGCAAAATAAATGTACTTCTCTTCAGTAAATTCTGTACATGTCAGGGATCACACCCTTATTTCTAATTAACTCAAAAGCTGTTCTGTACTGTGCTTCACTCCTGCATTTACCTATAAATTTTAATTTCCACCAGCATAAAGAAAAATTATGGGTTTGTTCCCTTTTCCAACAAGATGATGTCCATGTCCAACTGATATCCCTTATGCTTGCCCTGAGCAATACACCCACATCCTCATCCTCTTATCCTTGAAGCAAAATGCCCAATCTAAATAGCATACCTTACAATCTCCAACTACTAGAATGTTCTTACCTTGTTTTTCTAAGCACTTCACCTTCTTATCTTCAAGGCTCCTATTTCCATCCTCGTCACAGCACTCATCCTGTAACACCGAGAAAGATTGGAGGTCTTCACCACAGGTTTCTTCAGTCATCTTGATAGCACTTTTTTTTATCACTTTTCTTAACTTTCCAAGAATCTGCTTTTGTCCTCACTGCTTGAGATTCCACTTATAGTAATACACACTCCTGCAAGCACTTAGCTTCCACTCTCAGCTTTTTTTTTACTTCATCCTTCAAGGCATCACAGCACAACTATTTCATGAATTATACTTGCCTCCATGGTGTATTGTTTAATGGTTCTCACTAAACCTCTAACACTGAACAACATGTCCACCCCTAACAAGAGATGGCCCACAACTGTTACCTGATTATACAGTAGATGCACATTGTAATATGCTTAGATATTCTTTTAAGTAATTGACCAATGACTAATTTATCTGGCACATAATAAATGATATTAAATGAATACAATGAAATAAAACACTAATAAATCTTAAATCAAATTAAGTTAGGAAATAAATAGGTTTAGGTAATACTGTACTGATAAATGTTAATACGAAAAGAGTAAACATTCAGTTATGATTAAAAATTGCCAAATAATAAGTGGGAAGAGGCCAGGCATTTTGATGAAAGGAAATATCTTACTAGACAAGAAAGTAATGTTACTCCCTTATACAAGAGAAAAAATATTATCCATGATGTCCTCGATAATCTGAGATACAGTATTTATATTTTTAATTGCAGTACAGTCAGTTTGCTGAGGGAGGCACCTGAACTGTCACAGTTGAAAGTAGGATCCCTGGTGAGCAGATGGTCTATCTATGCATTCTCTTGGCATAAACAATATATGAAGTAGTGAGCACAATCTGTAACTATCTTCCTAACTTTGGTTGTCTTTATAAACCTCTTCCACCAGTGCCCACAGGAGGAGAATGGGATTCATAATACATTTAGAAAAACAATGTCAACATATATTTCACATAGAATAGTTATACCTCAACTCGAGTGTAGTTCCTGAATCAAACATCCTTGCAGGAACTGTTATGGTACTGTATATGGTCTTCAGATTTCCTTGAACGAACACCGACATTAAGATAGTAATCATTTAATGTTTCTAACATGAAGCATGTAATCATTTAAGATGTCTGCAATCTTTTTTATCCCTTATTATTTGTTGGTTTCTATTTTTCAAGGGTTCATGCTTTAAAAAGTGATATTTGTTTTTCTCTTTTGCACTGAAAGTTTGGCATGAAATCTCTCATTTTAAAGCAGTTATCCTCAGTAAAAATGAGTGAAGACTGTTTACTGTCAGTTAATAATCACCTTCCTGACTAATGGTTGTACGAATATGCTAATTCCCATCTGCATGAAAATAGGTGATTGAAGTTATAATATTTATTTTCGTGTATAATTTGAATGGCAGCATGCACATGTGGCTTTTTAGATTGATAGCTAATTTAGAGTTCACAGTACCCTGTAATACCAATATGCCAAAACTAAATCAACTCATACCAGGATTGGTTGAGGGGCCATAGAACTAACAACACTGTAAATCACACATGACAGTGTGGATCTCATGAAAACTTTTAAAATACTAAACAACTTGGAGGATATTGATCTAGACAATTTCTTCAAAAAGTCAGATAAAAAACAAGCAAGAAGCAATGGATTCCAGCTCAACAAGCCACAATGTAGGACAAAGCAGGCTTGCCGTCTTTGTCAAGACCACTTGAGTGTTAGTGGCCCATCGGTAAATTCAGGTAGATGACAGGGCTTATCTCCTCTAACTTTTAAAATACTGACAAATTTTATGGATATTGATTCAGACCATTTCTTTAAAAGATCAGATGTAACAGACAAGGTGCAATGGCTTCAAGCATAAGACGACACAAAGCAGAACAGAAAACAGTCGAGGCTTTTTCACGCCTTAGGGCTATAACCTCTTGAAAACACCTATCCACCAAAACCGTAAATACCAAAACATAGCCAAAATTCAAAATCCAGACGGATAAAATCAGAACAAATGAGGGTGATTTTGAAAAGCAATCAGCTTCCTGTCCACATTGATGCAAATAGTGGGATGGTGGCCCTCAGGTAAATTCAGGTAAATAATTTTGCTTTCACTATGCTGAAGTTTTCTTGTGCAGTACAGTGGTTAATATTGTGTTTTGCCAAACTGATCCAAATTATTCAAATTAACAAAAAGTCACACCTAAAGTTTAATATTGAAGCCTATTCATTACATTGTAGGTATCTAAAAGCAATATATAATCACCATCCTTTTCTCACCTGAAACTGTTTTAACAATAACTGTGAGGGCAGCACGGGCATATGGGTCTCGATACACCCCACGGTACACCCGCCCAAATGTTCCCTCTTGCACTACATCACCAACCTCCACCTGCCAAAGGATAACTGTTACAAACACAATATTTTGCCTGCAACTTCATAATGCTCATACTAACAGGGACTAGTGCTTTATCACATCATTAACATGTCTACTTTGCCACTTTTTGCAATTCTATTCTAGGTTCCCAACACAATATAAATTACAAGATGAATCCAAAATTATCAGAACAAAACAGATATACATCAGCAAGGTGAAATTAAACAAAATGGAAACTTAACCTTCCATCTGTCTATTGCCAACTGTCGCACCCTCTCACTTGGGTCCATGTTACGTGGGTCTCGCCAAGAAGCCTGTAAAACAATAAGCCTAAGAATTAAACACTATTTAAAGGTCTTTTGCTACATCTGTGGTAAAATTAAAGTATTAATGTATCATCTAATCCTGGTAATTTGCAGAAAGTTATTGTTAAGATCTAAAAACATTAGAACATAAGAATTAATTTAACTGCAGAAGGCCTATTGACCCCAATTCATATTCACCCCAACTACTGTAATTCAGATACAGTGCTGGTATGTGACTAATCTAAACTTGAAACAATTCATCAATCCCAAGTATATTATGTTACTTGGTAATTTGCTTCATAAATCATCTGTACTCTATTTCGAAACCAATATTTACCCGAATAAAAACTTACAAAAATACAGAGTTGAATGTAATGAAATGCCATTTTCTGGGTGAGTCCCAGAGGCTCCCCAGAGCTATTCAGGCTGATATAGATGTATTAGCTTTCTGGCATCAGTCAATGTGCATCGAGTTCTAGCCTACTGGGGACAATGAGCCAGAACCTTGCCCCCCTCAAGAGAGACATGAGGAGAAATGGCCTGTGGAAACCCCCGTGTGGTTGGGAGCATTCTATGTCTACCATCGACCAGGTCTGACACCCAGAAAGGTAGGCGCATCCCAAAACAAACCCCCCCCCCCTCTATTCTGGTGAAAATATTGCTACTGAAAGCCAAACGAGGGAACAGAACTCCCCAAACGAAAATTAGCAATGAGCATGACATGTTGCTGTGTCCACTGTTTGCACAACTCCCCCCTCCCCAAGAGGGGGAAGGGGGAGCCCCAGACCCTCTTGCCGGTGATCCAACCATCAGTTCTTAGGCTGGATGTCAAAAACACACGAAAAACACTGTCGACTGGAGGGAGGAAGGGTTGCTGGGGAGCCTGCAGGACTCACTCAGAAAATGGCGTTTCATTACAGTCAACGCTAGTTTTCTGGGGGGAGCCCCTCTCAGCTCCCTATAGCTAACTACCCAAAGACAAGGAAAAACAGGAACTTACCCGGGCAGCGGTCAGTCCTCACTCCCCAACGCAAAGTCGAGACAACTGGCTACAACCGCCGACTCAATGCAACGTAGACTGTACTAGGTCCAGGGACACCGACAAGATAGCAAGCAGCCAGGACCCTGTTCGGCATTCAAAAACCCTGTGCCTGAATGTCAACCAAAGACATGTTGCCAAAGATAGCAGCCAAAGTAGCAAACTTACGAACGTCGTGGGCATGAGGATAGATCGCAGGCTGCCTAGACTTAATAACCCTGCAGACGACATGGGAGGCCCGGGAAGCAGGGAATGAGGGAAACCAGGTCAACCTAAAGCATATCTCCGGCCACCGAAGCCGTGGCACACAAAAATTGGTGGAGAGCCGCAACCGGACAACACATGATGCACCCCCAGCCAGACCAACCAAGCATCAACAACTCAAGGACCACTCTGGAAAGAGGCAGTCTCATTCTTCGCCAGAAAAGAAGGAGATGGCTGCAACCGAACAAACCTACCACCAGGACCAAAAGAGCAGAAATCCCTGTGCCGGAGGAGAGCATGAAGCTCCCTGACCCCCAGAGGCCAAGGCCAACAGGAACAAAGAGCCTCAGAATAACAGCCCTGAACCGAAGAGGCGACAACAAACCGAGAAGAAAAAAAAAGAGAGCACTCGGTCCAAAGACCAGGATGGCTCAGACAGTGCATAAGCAGGCTGGAGATGAAACAACTCACGAGACTGAGTGGAGTGGAGCAGATGTAACATCAATACCGAACGCAAGCTGCAGTGGCTCCGACAGCACCACACGATATGAGGAAACAGTAATCGGCATAAGATGATCCTGAAACAACCATGAAAGGAAGGACAAAACAACCCTATCAGAGACTGAGGTACACCTATGCAGTGATAGTAAAAAAAATGGAAGGAACACCAGAAAACTTCATACTGCCACCGAGACGAAGTATACAGGTGGGAGACCAACAACAAAGCCACCTGTGCTCCATACAAGTGATGACAGACCCGAGTCAGAAACTCCAGTCACGAAGATTCGAGGAGAAGAATGAACCAGCCTCGTACTGGCCTGGACCGATCTGCTGAAAGAGATGGAGCCGCGGGATGATCTTCGGGTTTGAACACGAGCAAGCAGCGCCTGAAACCAAGGCTGGGTCGGCCACCAAGGAGTCAGAAGGACAACTCTCCCCTGGTAAGTCTCCAAGCAAGCCAGGACCTGGAGCAACAGCTGAACCGGGAAAATGAGGTACAGGTAACCCCACCTCACCCAGTCCTGCCTGAAGGCGGGCGACAACCCCGATGACTTAGTCAGGGAAGGGCGCTACGTATACCAGGAGACACCTCAACCACGCTGACGTGAAGAAATCCACTTCCAGAGGCCCCCAACGTCCGGCAGAGCCAATTGAACGAGTTGGCATTGACTGTCCATTTCATGGCAAGGAGAATGAACCAGGACAGGCCGTCCACTAGGACTAAATGCCACAGTAAATACTGAGCTAAATAAAGTCCATCTGTGGCTAACTGCCAACAAACTCACCCTTAACATTGACAAAACCTTTTATATTCTGTTTGGCAATAAATCCTCTAATCAAATAAATCTCAAAATAAACAATACCCAAATTTGTAACAAATTAGATGGCAAATTCCTTGGCATTCTCATTGACCACAAGCTTAATTTCCAGGGACACATTCTAAACATATCAAAAAAAGTTTCAAAAACTGTGGGCATTCTTTCTAAGATCAGATATTATGTACCACGCCCTGCCCTGGTGACTCTCTATTACTCCCTTATCTATCCATATCTCAACTATGGTATTTGTGCTTGGGGCTCTACTACCCAAAATCACTTACGTCCTCTAATTACTCAACACAAAGCTGCTATTAGGACAATATCCAATTCTGGCCCCAGACATCACTCGGTACCCCTACTTAAATCTCTGAATATGTTAGACATTAAGTCACTGCACATTCTCTCATGTGTATTATACATATATAAAACGCTAAACTATAATGCCAATCCTGATCTCAAAAGGTTCATAGAAGGTTGTATCAGAACCCATGAGCATCACACCAGAAATAAATACAGTTTTGATATTCCTAGAGTACGACTTAATCAAACTAGAAATGCTCTACAAATCAAGGGGCCCAGAATGTGGAATGACCTTCCCAACCATGTTAAAGACTGTACCTCTCTCAACCAGTTTAAGTTAAAAGCGAAGCTATACCTAATAAATTCCCTGTAACCTACCTTACCCTTCTATTGTCAACCAATGTCTGTTTTTTTCTTTAAAGAGCGCTGTTTGTCGACATAATTGTATTTGTGCTGCTTTTTCATCTATGTTTTCATTTCTTGTTTTCATTCTACTCATTATGCTCAATTAGTATTAAGCTTGTCATTTAAGTTTATCATGCCCGAAACGCTTTGCGTAATAGTGGCTTTAGGCATTGTATGTACTAGCTATACCTATAAGTTAAACAATCCTTGTAAATATTTATTGTATGTATGTACCTTACCTAAATAAAATTGTATTGTATTGTAATTGTACATTGGACACCCCCCGAACGTGAACCGCCAAGAGAGCCAAACCCCGAGAACTCAGCAGACGAGTCTCCCAAAGTGACCAGCCCCAAAAAACCAAGGACCGCAACAAACCCACACAGTTCAGGCAGTGAACTACCAGGGGAACAGTCCGAATGGAGCCGGATTGTTGATCTTCGAGGACCCGAATCTTCCGAAGTGACATCCACACAGCCGCGAACTCCCGCACTGTGCTGTGAGCCCGACAGGAGGATGGGCTCCACCGTCCCTGGCTGGCCTGGTGAGCACTAGTCACAAAGCCCCAGCCCAGAGATGACTCATCCATGAACACATCGAGTGAGGGCTCAGATAGGCGCCAAGGCACTGAACCCTGAAAAAACACAGAGGAAGCCGGCAATGCAGGAACTGATACAAAGACCCCAGAGGCCGAACCCAGCGGTCGCAAGAGAGGCGGAAGGGATGTCTCCGAAGGAACCAGAACAGCCGACGAAGCCACACCTGACCCGGTGGGTAGACCATCACTTTGGTGCAGCCAAAGTTCAGGCTCCCACACAAACCCTTGAGCAACCGCCACCTGACCCAGGAGCCCCTCTAAAACAGGGGAAGGCAGAAACGCAGCTGACACAGAGCCTCCAGAGGAAAATACAAGGAAGCGGTTTGAACATCCTCACAAGACCCAGCCAAGACCAAACCCGAGAGGGAATCAGATGGGACGTCTGCCAGTTCACCAGGAACCGAACCCGGTAAGCTGGGAAAGAACCAAATCCCTGGCGAGCAGACAGGTGGACCAGCTGGTTTGGGTGAGAGCTGGGAGCCCACACCAGCCAGTCGTGGAGGGAGGCGAGAATCCAAACACCTAAAAGACACAGACAGGATATCACGACCTGGGTAAGGTGTGTGAAAATACGAGGCGCCAGATTCAAGCCGAAAGGAAGGCATTACGGGCCTACCATGATGGGAACAACCCTGAGCCTTGGCACGACCCCCCCAGGAAGGCCCCCATGAGCCTCCTAGAGAACCAACAAATCCGACATAGGATGGCAACTAGACGAAGCTACCTGCAGATACTGCACAGCTGCAGCCTCTGCAAACAGCAATGGACAAAAGGGCGTAGACAACCTAAGAGCCAGGGCCCAAGTGGATTTCAAAGAAGAAGCAAGCACCTCCTACCGACACGTGAGACGGGAAGCAAAAAACAGTGAAACCAAATCTCTCAGGATTGGCACAAACAGCTTCAACATCGCAAACAATGCACGCACTGCCGAAGGCAACACACCAGACCCAGTGGCATCTCCAAGTGCCTCCACGTCCTCCTCAAGTCAGTCTGAGGACGATTCGAGCAGGATAAAGAAAAGCATGCACAAATCTTCCGTGACCAATGCAGCAGAAAGGGAAGGAATCTGCACATGAAGCCACATCGCACCAACATCCTGTGGAAGGGCAGTGGCGAACAAGCATGCATCGAAATGCTCAAAATTGCCCCAGGAAAACCTGCAACACCGCATGAGCTTCCCCACCAATTAAGCATGCAGGACCAACAGAACGCATTCCATGCCTCCAATGAGAAGACAAGGCTGCCTGCCAACCAGGAAGACTCCGTAACCTCATAACGAACCCAGTAAGGACAAGATCTATACACCAAGGAATTTGGATCCATTACAATGGCATAAACCGGGTCACGCAGGAGGTAAGCCACAATGATCTCCCGCATCACATGGGGCAGGCCGAAAACCTCCTGTAAGACAGAACCGAAGAACCCACGGGATCAAGGAACCGAACCCAGGGAGGGGTAGACGCAAATCCAATCCGTACAAGGAGTGAGAATAAGAGAACCCCATTCCTTGTAACACCAAGCCCCACTTCGAGGGGTACAAAAACCCAAGTCCAACGGAATAGGGGTCCTGCATCCCTACTAGTGTTGAAAAATACCCCCTACCCAGAGACAAACCGGGGAACACAGAAACCTCAGCTGACTCCCGGAATCACCGAACAGCAAGAGACACAGTGGAGGTAGATCCGAGGCGAATTGTGGAAGGTGGCCTCAAGCCCTAAGGACAGTATTTACAGGGCACCTAGGGAAGGAAACCCTAGGTGCATGCAACCCGAGTACTGAAGAAATTACTCCTGGCTTGCACATCGACTGTAGAGGCAGCACCACACCACAAGGCACCAAACTGAAACAATCGCTGGAGCCAAAGACACACGACCTTGCCAATGTTACATCAGCCAAGAACTGAAGGGTGGGTAGCTGGCTGGAAGGTCTGTTGCTCCCCCTAGACAGCAGTGCGGCAACGTGGTAACATCATGCTAGTCTGTCTGTTTTCATTTGGGGAGTTCCATTCACTCGTTCGGCTCTTTGTAGCAATGTTTTCACCAGAATAGGTGTTTGTTTTGGGGTGCTAACCTTTCTGGGTGACTGACCCGATCGATGGCAGACATAGAATGCTTCCAACCACATGAGGGTTTCTATAGGCCATTGCTCCGCGTGCCTCTCTCAGGGTGCCAGGTTCTGGCTCGTGGTCCCCGGTAGGCCTAGAACTCCATGCACATTGACTGATGCCAGAAATCTAATACATCATTATCAGCCTGGATATAGCTCCTGGAAGCCGACGGGGCTTCCCCCTAGAAAAAAGGTTATATAGTACTGTACAACACCTAGTTTTATACATGGGCCAAAATATTGGAGGGTACCTTGTCCAACCACTTAGACTGAATGGTAAAGTGAAGGTCTCGCTTCTTACAGGTAGGCGTTCAATCCCTGAAAGTCCAAATGGTTGGGTACCATTCCTTCCCTTTGTCCTATCTTAAATCCTTATCCTGATGTCTTCTAAGTGCAATATAGTTGTAATAGCTTAGTGCTTTCTCTGTATAATTACGTTGTCTTATCCTTCTGGACATTTACCAGCCAGATTTTCATTGTTAATCAGCTGTCAAAGAAAATGAATATTTTTTTTTTATCAATCCAAATCAAACTGGGATTCTGGGATTCTGAATTCAATAATACCCATGATATAAATTCATTAGCTAACCTCTTCCTCTCCAAAACTCTAAGCCTCTACAACCTTCATTGTCCCCTTCTTACAAAGCAAGTAACTGACAAAAGATTAAACAATCCATGGCTCACAAGTGGCATTCTCAACTCAATCAACAAGAAACATGAATATGAAAAGAAAGTTAGGATTGGCCTAGTTTCAAAGGAAGTAGCTAAAAGGTACTCATCAATGCTTACCAGTATCATAAGAAAGGCAAAACTTGCATATTATGTGAATAGATTCAATGAAGCAAAAGGCAACATGAAAAACACTTGGAAAACTATCTCTAGTATCCTAGGAACTAAACAACACTCACATAACCAAATAAAACTCTACAAGGATGGGGATATACCGTCAACTGATTTAGAAATGGCAAATGAATTTAATAGTTTCTTTTCATCGGTTGGTGCTAATCTTGCCAGTAAAATCCCACAGACTCAGACACATATTAACACATATCTCTCAGGCAGCTATCCAAACTCTCTTCTCCTTTCACCAATCAGCCCGGCAGATGTTGTGTCCATCATACACTCTCTAAAAACCAAGGCAGGGAACACCAGTGAAATTCCGTCCATTGTGTACAAGAGAGCCTCCCATGCCCTTGCCCCACCCATAGCACTACTGTTCAACAAATCTATAGAGTGTCACACCTTCCCTGATATCCTCAAAAAAGCAAGAGTAACGCCAGTCCATAAAGGAGGCAATCCGGCGGACATAAACAATTATAGACCAATATCAAATCTACCCATTCTATCAAAAATATTTGAAAAAATTATTTGCAAACAGCTCTATTCCTACCTCGTAAAATTCGACATACTCAGCCCCTGCCAGTTTGGCTTCCGGTCCCAAAAGAGTACCAATGACGCAATCATTAGTCTCCTTGACATTATCTACTCAGCCCTTGACAAAAATGAGTTTCCGATTGGACTCTTCATTGACCTAAGAAAAGCCTTTGATACTGTTAATCACAACTACCTCTTACTTAAACTCCAGCATTATGGAATCCGAGGCCTTGCCCTTGACTACATCCGATCCTATCTTAGTGACAGACACCAATATGTAACCATCAATGATACAACTTCTTCCACTCTACCAATTACCGTTGAAGTGCCACAGGGCAGCATCTTAGGACCTCTTCTATTTCTTATATATATAAACGATCTGCCTAATGTCTCTAATATTCTCAAACCTATATTGTTTGCTGACGATACTACCCTTATCTACTCAAACCTCAACCCACATACACTAAATAATGTTGTGAATAATGAATTAAAAAAAGTCCACTTATGGATGTCAACGAACAAACTAACATTAAACATCGAAAAGACTTACTACATCTTATTTGGAAGCAAATCATCAAATGCAATTCAGCTACAGATAGACAACATTAACATCAGTAATAAAAATGATGGCAAGTTTCTTGGCCTATTCCTAGACAAGAGACTCAACTTCAGCACCCACATTCAACACATAACTAAGAAAGTCTCTAAGACAGTTGGTATACTCTCCAAAATCAGATATTATGTTCCTAACTCTGCTCTCCTCTCACTATATTATGCACTAATCTACCCTTATCTTAATTATGGTATCTGTGCATGGGGGTCTACCACTGCAAACCACCTTAAGCCCATCATCACACAGCAAAAATCTGCTATCAGAATAATAACTAACTCTGCTTTCAGACAACACTCAGCTCCCTTGTTTAAATCTCTAAACTTGCTAAATATTAACTCCCTCCACACATTCTCTTGTGTCAACTACATTTACAAAACCCTGTTCTTAAATGCAAACCATGCTCTGAAACTCTCCCTGGACAGATGTAATAGGACCCATTATCACCACACCAGAAATAAATATCTCTTTGATATCCCCAGGGTCAAACTTAATCTGTGTAAACACTCTATGCAAATTAAGGGACCTAGTCTATGGAACTCACTCCCTAGTGAATTGAAAAACTGTAAAACTTTTGCCTTATTTAAAAGCAAAACCAAAAAGTACCTAACTTCATCTATTTAGTTTCCTACACTGAGCTTTAAATTTGCTCTGTACCTAGTGGTACTGTACCCAATCTCCTAATTTTTATGTAATATCAAGCAACCTTATCATTGTGTTCATTGCTGTCTTCTTTTATGTGCTAGCCATATGCTGTATTGTGTCTACCAATTTTTATCAACTACTATTCAAGCTGTCATTGCAATCAATCTTATATTGTTTCTGCTGTATTGTGCCTACCAATTTGTTGTCAACTACCATTTTAAGCTGTCATTGCAATCAATCATAGCTACCTATGTGCTTTAATATACTGTACCTATAATTTTCTCTCATCTTTTTTTTTTTTTTCATTCCATGTAATCTGTTATCATTTTTTTGTCTATAAATTTTGCAAGTATTTACCTCCTTAAAATTTTCTTAGATTAAGGACCTGCCCGAAACGCTGCGCGTGCTAGTGGCTTTACAAGACTGTAATTACCATAATTGTATCCTCACATTCCTTATGTACATTCTTGTATATGCATAAATAAATAAATAAATAAATAAACAGGGAAAAACCGTAACATAGTAATGAATAATAAATTTATTCTCTGAAATTTTCCTCTAAAATGAGACCCATATGCAAGGAATCACTGACAACAAAAAACAATGATGGTTGTGCTATGTAGCGTAATAGAGGCCTCTGACCTGTGAGTGTAGTGAAGAGGCGCAGCACGAGGCATGCGAGTGCCTGGAGGCTGGGAGGGAGTGTGCTGGGGAATATGGCTGGGAGTACACCTGTGACAGCGGTGAGGAAGCGTAGTGCAGAGATTCACCACCTCCACTCAACGCGCAAACCTGAAAGGTCCATTATGATGTAATGTGTCCATGATGCTTCCTTCTTGCTTGGGATTTAAGTGAATCGGCTTTTATACTGAGTAAGGTCAAGAATTAAAGGTCCTGCAATGTGCATCAGACTATTGCATTCAGTAACACAGAGAGAACTGTCATGAAGTAGTGAAATTAAAGATTAACTAGTGCACTAAAAATTCTGGTACACAGAAACTGTTCTCTTATTAATTTATCTCACTGATGACAACTACCTTTTACAAACTTGAGACTGAACAAAAACAATTAGAGACCACAAATTTATCACTTATAAATTTAACCATTTTACTAGTATTCCAGAAGAGATGTGCAATTAAAATAGTCAATATACAAAACCATCCTTAAATAATATTTAGCACTGGACCTTAATAATGTTAAAGGGTTTATAAATGAGTTGAAAAAAAAACAAAGTAAAAAAATGAGTGTTAAAGAAAAAATATAAATTGCCTTCAAGAAGAACATTTGCAAATGAATGTTAAGATTAGTGATTTTAAGAAATACATATCCTAAAAGAAAAATACAAATACAGTACAGTGTTGATTTGAATTCTTTTACATTTATTTATTTATTTATTTATTTATTTATTTATTTATTTATTTATTTATTATACAACACAAGTGCTTGTAACTCATTTTGTGTGTATGTACTTTTCACTAAATAAAATTATCTTATCTAAGTGAGAGGAAGGAGCAAGGAGGAGTAGCAGAGAGAGGGAGGAGCAGGGGCAGAGGGAGGAGAAGGGAGAGAGGTAGGAGCAGGGAGAGAGGTGGGAGCAGGGAGAGAGATAGGAGCTCCACCAACCCGCCCAGAGTCCTGTGCTTGGTGCCAGTACACACAGTCGGGCAACTCGCGAGATTAAGCACACAAGGTGGACAATGACCCGAGAAGGAACGTGTATTATGTATGTCAGGGTGAGGGAGGGTGGACCTCGGGGGACGAGCCGCTGGTCAAGCAATGGAGTTAAGGAGGGAGGGAGGCAGGTAGCAGAGAAGAGAAAGAAGAGACGGTGATATCACAGATGGGAGGGAGAAAAAGATAAGGAGTGAGGGATCAGATATGGGATATAGGAAAAATAAAGGAAGGGGGGAGGAGAGAGGAGGAAGAAAGAGAGGACGAAAGGAAAGATTTTGAGACGGAAGAGAATAAGGAAGACCGGGACGAAGAGGGGAGGGAGGTATGGTGACGGGGTTGAACAGATGGTGGTGGGAGAGGGGTGGATAAAGGCTCGTGGATTCCCGTCTTAAGAGTGATGGCCTGCATATTGTGAGGCGTAATATATGGCTGCGAACAATGGGCAGATAACGTGTCTTTTGTTGGGATGTTTTTATTGGCAGAACTAACGAGTTGATGTCTCAGCAGCCACGCTGACCACCTGCCTCAGCTGAGACCACACCCGCCGCCCGGCCACCCGCCCTCAGCTGAGATCACACCCGCCGCCCGGCCACCCACCCTCAGCTGAGATCACACCCGCCGCCCGGCCACCCACCCTCAGCTGAGATCACACCCGCCGCCCGGCCACCCACCCTCAGCTGAGATCACACCCGCCGCCCGGCCACCCACCCTCAGCTGAGATCACACCCGCCGCCCGGCCACCCACTCTCGGCTGAGATCACACACGACGCCCGGGTCGCCTATTCCGCAATATTTTGAGTTGTACAACTAACCTTGAGATTCTTCATGGAAACTCTGGCACCAGCGTTCGCCCTTTTTGGGGGGTTTAGGGGAATCTGGGGGGTGAATGGGGGCTGGGGAGATCCGGAAGGGTGTCTGGGGGTGAACGGGGTCTGGAGGGGTACTTGGGGGCAAATGGGGTCTGGACATCTAGGAAGATAGGTAGTAGGGTCTTGGGGAAGTAGGGCCTGGGTTGGTAGGTCTGGAGTAGGAAAGGCATACTGGGTCTGAAGATTAGAGTCAGAGGCATAGGGGGGGTTGAGAGGTAGCATGAGGTCGAGAGTCAGATAGAGGTTGAGAGGTTGGGGGGGGGAGAAGGATAGAGGGGGGTGGGGGAAGAGGGGAGGATGGAGCACGAATAGTGAGAATGGGAGAAACGTTGAATTAGTCAGGGGGAACTCAGGGGTAGGTGTGGGCATTGGGGCAGAAGGGGGGAAGAGGGAAATGAAGGAAGAGGTGGGAAGGGGGAGTCCCTCCGTCCCCCATGGGGGTCCATGTGACCCCTTCGCAAGGGGAGGGGGTCACATGGAAGGAAAGTGACTGAGGAAGGGTAAGGGCATGGGCGGGTTTTGGGGGATGAGGGCTGGGCAGGTTTTGGGGGATGAGGGCTGGGCAGGTTTTGGGGGATGAGGGCTGGGCAGGTTTTGGGGGATGAGGGCTAGGAGAGTTTTGGGAGTTGAGGGGATGAGGGGGTCCTTGGAATGTGGAATGAAGCAGATGGATTTTAATGCAATGGGGTTAGAGGAGGTGTTGGAGAGATAAGTAGGGGCAGGGGATGAGGGGGGCTGATTTGGGGGGGGGGGGGGGGGTGACCTGGGAAGCAGGTGTGGGCTGGTTAGCACGGGGTGGGGCACGGGGTGGGTTAGCACTGGGGTGGGCAGTCAGCAAGGCGGACAGCCCGCCTGCTTTCATACCTCTCACTATTTCCCACTTCTATACTTCCCTTCACCTATGCCTCTCCTTCCTCTTTACTCCTCCCCCCCCCCCAAAAAAAAAGGGGTGGGTAACTACACCCGAGTGGGAAGAGTTGTGTTGTAGAGGTCTGCTTGCCCTGTGGGATATCTGTTCATCTTTTGTCATGTATCTGTCAATATACATGTTATAATAGTTTTCACTACCTCTGAGTAAAGTTTGTGTCGCAGTATGTAATCCACTGCCTCTTCGTTAGTGAACTGTACCAGGACAGGTCGTTTCTTGATACAGTTGTAAGCCTCAATGCGGCGGTGGATTTCCACCTCATTTCCTGCCATCTCGACTCTAATATCTCTCAAGATCCCCTGTAACTCAAAATCTTCAATCTCCATCCTTTCCTGCCTCGATGATGCCTTGGCTTCAAGTAATCCATGGATTATGATTGACCTTCTCAGTGAAGGGTCATGCTGGTCGCCCTCCCCCCTGGCTAACCCCCACCCTCCCACACTCTATTCCATCCCCACTACTTCCCCTGTCCTTGCCATGCTTCCCTTATTCTTGCCAAATTCAGTTGCAAGCCTAGTTATTTCACTTTCCCATGCTACCCTGCTCTTTATTTCTTCTTGAATATAGTCCATAAACTCTTGTTTTTGTCTCTGAACTTCGTCCTGTATCTTATTAAAGATTTCACTTTTAATCCCATGGATTAGATCCTCTATCCAAACATCCCTCTTCTCTACAAATTTCACAATCTCTCACCTGTCTCGACACCTATCCTCTACTTCAATCATAATACTGCTGGACCTAGACGCCCTTCCTGACCTAGTCATTGCTGTAACCAACCTTACCCACAGGGGTTCCAAGTACCTTACCGACCTGCTAACACAATATAGGCGAGTGAGTCTTCAAGTGTCTCCCCACGTGGTGTAGGAAGGGTTGCTGCCGGGATGAGATCACGTCGGTCCAGATTGAAGCTGTGAGGTCTCACATTCAGTGTGAGGTCTGCTGCACTCTTCGTACTGCTACAATGCATTCAACACCTATTTTCACGCTATTTCTACCGTTTTTCTTCACTACTTTATGGTTTTTAGTCAAAATCCAAGTTTTTCATTCACTCATATACACTTTTTCAATTCAAAGTATCCTGATCACCCCTCCTACTTCACTAGTGACCCAGGAGCTCCCGACCCAACGTCCATCCACACGACGGACACAACAACGTACGTGTGTGTGTGTGTGTGTGTGTGTGTGTGTGTGTGTGTGTGTGTGTGTGTACTCACCTAATTGTACTCACCTAATTGTGCTTGCGGGGGTTGAGCTCTGGCTCTTTGGTCCCGCCTCTCAACCGTCAATCAACTGGTGTACAGATTCCTGAGCCTATTGGGCTCTATCATATCTACATTTGAAACTGTGTATGGAGTCAGCCTCCACCACATCACTTCCTAATGCATTCCATTTACTAACTACTCTGACACTGAAAAAGTTCTTTCTAACGTCTCTGTGGCTCATTTGGGTACTCAGCTTCCACCTGTGTCCCCTTGTTCGCGTCCCACCAGTGTTGAATAGTTCATCCTTGTTTACCCGGTCGATTCCCCTGAGGATTTTGTAGGTTGTGATCATGTCCCCCCTTACTCTTCTGTCTTCCAGTGTCGTAAGGTGCATTTCCCGCAGCCTTTCCTCATAACTCATGCCTCTTAGTTCTGGGACTAGTCTAGTAGCATACCTTTGGACTTTTTCCAGCTTCGTCTTGTGCTTGACAAGGTACGGGCTCCATGCTGGGGCCGCATACTCCAGGATTGGTCTTACATATGTGGTGTACAAGATTCTGAATGATTCCTTACACAGGTTCCTGAACGCCGTTCTGATGTTAGCCAGCCTCGCATATGCCGCAGACGTTATTCTCTTTATGTGGGCTTCAGGAGACAGGTTTGGTGTGATATCAACCCCTAGATCTTTCTCTCTGTCTGTTTCATTAAGTACTTCATCTCCTATTCTGTATCCTGTGCCTGGCCTCCTGTTTCCACTGCCTAGTTTCATTACTTTGCATTTACTCGGGTTGAACTTCAACAGCCATTTGTTGGACCATTCACTCAGTCTATCCAGGTCATCTTGTAGCCTCCTACTATCATCCTCTGTTTCAATCCTCCTCATAATTTTTGCATCGTCGGCAAACATTGAGAGGAACGAATCTATACCCTCTGGGAGATCATTTACATATACCAGAAACAGTATAGGTCCAAGGACTGACCCCTGCGGGACTCCACTTGTGACGTCTCGCCAATCTGAGACCTCACCCCTCACACAGACTCGTTGTCTCCTGTTGCTTAGGTACTCCTCTATACACCGGAGTAGCTTCCCTCTCACTCCAGCCTGCATCTCCAACTTCC